GCTCAGGCTATGCTTCCATCTCAGCCTCCTGAGTAGCTGCAACTACAGGCATGCGCCACCATGCTCAGCTAATTTTTTGATTTTTCTGTAGAGACAAGGTCTCACAATGTTGCCCAGGTTGATCTTGAACTCCTGTGCTCAGGCAATCCTCTTGCCTCAGCCTCCCAAAATGCTGGGATTACAGGTGTAAGCCACTGTGCCGGGTCATTATTCCTATTTTACAACTGCTTGGAGAGGTCTAAGTGCTGTCCCAAGGGTATACCATGTCTAAGTGGTTGCAAGTCTTGCTCCCTGCTGAGGAACAACTGGCACGTTCTGGAGAGAAAGTGCCCCTTGTTGGTCCTAACGCTCCTTCAGATGGCTTCCTCAGGATGTGAGAATTTCCCAGGCTCTGTACTGGCATGTTTTAGTACCTGTGGTGGTGTCTCCCCTGAAGGTTCAAATCTGGGCCTTTGTTTTGACTCCTGGATCTCCATCACACTCAAGTCCCCTGGATAGGGACCACATGTCCTTCTTTCTTTTTCAGTCATATCACTTTCTCTTTCCCAATTGTTGCCTGACAGTGTTTTCTGGGGCCATTAAAACAGGGTGTTGATTAACGAATGAACGGACAGACGGGTGCAGGGGCTGAGGGAAAATTTCCCTTCACCCTCTGAAGTTTCACTGAAAAATCAACTCACAAAAGGCAGATTAATTAGAGAAACAGCATACAGATTTTATTAACATGTACACGTGGATTCTGACAAGACAGTTTATCGGAGTGCAGAGAAGAGGTGTCCTGTTTGGGGGATTACTAGGGAGAGCAAATGGGTCAGAGAGCAGATAATCACTTTTGGGTTATTTTGTGACAAGATCTGTTCAGGTGTGGTTACACTCCTGGCCCTACAGGGAGGGGAAGAAAAAACAAGTTCCTTTTGGTGGGTCTGGATCTTGGGGAGATAAAGGAGCTTCAACTTCATCCTGTGCTTTGGGAGAGACAGGGAGGGCCTAGGACAGATCAGAGAGACCTTGAGGTTTCTTCAGTTCAGCATGTCAAAGCGTCTGTCATATTTTAGGCTATCGGTTTCTGTGTCCCAACACTAGCTAAAGGATGGACTGGTACAATGACACACTGTCCCATACAGCTTCCTATGACAATTCTCAGGAGGGAAGCCTGGCTGGGTTTTGCCCCATCTGTGGTTGCTGTTGGGGGCATGAGAGCCAGACTGATCTGGTCCAAGCTGGATAAGTCACACCTTCTGGGAGCTTCTGTTTCCTCAGATGCATCATGGAGTCACAGCAGTAGCCCTGGAGGGTTGCTAGAAGAATGGGTGCACATGCACAACCTAGCTCTGCACCCCGTGGTGCTCAGGCTGAAGTAGCTCCTGGACTTGGGAACCTCCTTCCAAGGAGAGTTCTGTCCTCAGCCAGGAAGTCAAATTGTTCACCCCTCAGTAGGGGCCCACAGGAAGAACCCAAAGGGGACTGACAGCCTGCCTGACCACCCATTCAGGGACCTACTGACCACCAACCACATGACTGATTCTGCTCTCAGGGTCCAGAGGGACATGCCAGTGCTTTCCTCCCCCAACCCAAAGGCTCAGGCTATGGACTTTGTCTTCTGGAAACAGCCCTATCTCTAAAGGATAAAGTGATCTCTGGAAACTTTGAGCCTTGGCACAAGAAGCTGAGATAGAAGCTTCTGAGAGAGCCAGGGGTGAGGCTGGAGTAGGAGCTCACCCAAGGCAAGTAAGCAGGCTCCCGGAATGGGCAGGTGAGAGAGTAGGGGGCTGGAACTAGAGCTAGTCAGTTGGGAGCACAGGGAAGATGCCTCCGGTGTGCCCAGGGAGCCAAGCAAAATGCCTAGGATCTGGCTTGGAGCTGGGGTTCCCATGTTCTGAGCTCCCACAGATATTCTGACCCTCTCCCCCATCCATTCCCTGGTTTTCCTTTGGAGTTAGGGCTCCAGGTCAATGACTTTTGGCCTTGGCTCCAGACCTATCACCTGGTTGGCCTGGTCCCCTGGTGGGCTGGCATTGCTGCCTAGGAGGCGACCTGGCTAGGCTTGGGTGGACCAAGACAGAGAAGAGCACTGTGCTTCAAACCTGTGTAAAAAGTATGGAATGATGTTGATTTTGGCACCCGGGCTTGAGTTCCTGGGTTAAGGTCAACCAGGGCTGGTTCCTCTGAGTCTGGGTGTCCCTATGAGAAGCAGGGAGATAACAAAGCACCAAAAAAATGGAGCTGTGAGAGGGTTCATGAGCCAGTGCTTGGAAAGCATGTAGCGGAGCCCTGGCTATAGCAGGTGACTGGCCTCTGCCTGTGAGAAATGTTCCTTCAGTTTCCTCTGGGAATCTTTGCTTTGAACTGCCTCTTCCCCTTCAAAGTGACCCCTGCAGAGTCTCCCCTGACACTCCCCTTCCCTAGGCCAAGCCCTCATCTCCTCCCTCTCAGATGTCAGTTTTGTTTCAATTTCCCCTTATTTCCCTTGAGTGTGTATGCCCCCCAAGGGACTCCTCCCCAGCCATACGTGTTTCCATTTCCTCAGTTAAATTCCTCAAGCTATTTGTATAGACAAGATATACAAACGGCCAATATGCACAAAAAAAGATGCTCAAAGTCATTAGTCCTTAGGGAAATACAAATCAAAGCCACAGTGAAATACCACTTGTGTCTACTGGAATGGCTACAATGGAAAAGGCAGACAGTAACAAGTATTAGCAAAGACAGAGAAATTGGAGCCGTTATACATTGCTGGCAGGAGTGTAAAATGGTACAGCCACTGTGAAAAAGCAGTTTAGCAGTTTCTCAAATAGTTAAATGTAGAATTACTCTAAGACCCAGCAGCTCCATTCCTGAGTATATACCCAAGAGAATGGAAAACATGTCTACATAAAATTTGGACATGAATGTTCATAATACCTGAAACAACTCAAGTGTCAACTGATAAATGGATAAACTAAATGTGATATATTCATACAATGAAATATTACTCAGCCATAAAAAGAAATGAAATACTGTTACATGCTACAACATAGATGAACCTTGGAAACGTTATGCTACTTGAAAGTAACCAGTCACAAAAGGCTACATATTGGCTGGGTACAGTGGCTGAAACCTATAATCCAAGCACTTTTGGAGACTGAGGCAGGAGGATTGCTTGAGCCCAGGAGTTTGAGACCAGCCTAGGTGACATAACGAGACCCCATCTCTACAAGAACACATCAGGAAGCTGAGGCGAGGGATCACCTGGGCCCAGTTGGGTGAGGCTACAGTGAGCCATGATCATGCTATTGCGCTCCAGCCTGGGCACAATAGAGTGAGAGATCCTGACTCAAAAAAAAAAAAAAAAAAGACAGGACACGATGGCTCGTGCCTGTCATTCCAGTACTTTGGGAGGCAGAGGCGAGAGGATTGCCTAAGTCCAGGAGTTCGAGACTAACCTGAGCAACATGGTGAGACCTCATCTCTACAATAAAGTAAAAAATCAGCTGGGCATGGTGGCTCATGCCTGTAGTTCCAGCTACTTGGAAGGCTGAGGAGGAAGGATCTCCTGAGCCCAGCAGGCTGTGGTGGCTGTGAGCGTGCCACTGCACTCCAGTCTGTGAGAGAGTGAGACTCTGACTCAATTAAAAAAAAAAAAAAGAAGAAAGAAAACACATATTGGATGATTAGATTTATATGAGGTATCTGGACTAGTCAAGTCTATGGAGACAGAAAGTAGATTGGTGGTTGCCAGGGACTGGGGCTAGGCAGCAGTGGGTAGTGACTACTAATAGTCTTGGGACTTTTTATTGTGATGATGAAAATGTTCAGAAATCAGACAGTGGTGATGATTGTGAAGATACTAAAAACCACTCAACTGTGTACATTCAGTGGATTTTATATCTCAATTTATACATTTATAAAAATCCTCAGGCTCCCAGGTATCTTGTGTGAGAAGCACAAAACCAATCCTTGTGGCCTCTGCAGCCTGCTCCCCAAGTTTACCTTCCAGGCCTGGATATGGGGTGAGAGAGAGCCCCCTGAGTCAGAGCAGTCCTTAGGTCAGTTTTCAGGCACCACAAGAAGCATGTTCGGCAAGAGAGATGTGAAACAATGGAGAAGGAAGTGGGGCCACAGGAGGGAAGGAAGGCCAAGGAAGCCTGGGCTGCCAGGTGGTTTCTATCAAAATGGAGGGGTGGAGTCTCCCAAGGCTGGACTTCTGGGCTCCCCACTGAGAGTGAGCTCAGGAGGTCCTGGGAGAAGCCTCTAGAGGGGCTCAGTTTTCCTCTCACTGCAGTGAGTGTGATACTGATGTGGTTACCATAGCTACCATGGGAGAAAGCCCACATGGCTTGTGCAGTGGGGGCCAAGGGTCCAAGAGAGTTCTGCCTCCTGAGTTCTGAGTCACTGCCCCACTTGAGTCTCTGTTTGTCCAGGAGGGTATCACAGGAGATAAGCTCTGAGGCCCTTTCTACCCTGACCTGCAACACTGTTTGATGGTATGATTTGGAGATTGGGCTGGTTAGCTCTGTGATGATGTGCAGGGTGGTGCCCTATGTGAGGGTCGGTATCTGTTCTAAAATACAACCAGAAAAAAGCCTTTATTCCCTAAGTATGGACCAAGCCTTGAACCTGCATTTGGCCCCAGACCCCTGATCTGAGACTAAGCCAGACAGACCCACGTCCAGACTCAGCCTCTAGCAGGGCCGAGAGACTGCATAGCTCATCCCTGCTGCGGGGTCCACTGTCGGCATATTTGTTGTGTGGAGGTTTATGCTGGGAGCAGAGTGAGGGGTGAAATGGGCCGTCCCAGTGGGGATCTGGCCCCCATGGGCACCTGGAACACACAGCTTCTCAGGTAGGTCCCTTCCGGTGCTGTGACCCGGGAACCAGGAAGACTGAAGGTGATTTGGGGCTCAGATTCTTACCAATCATTAAGATTTCTTCCCCATGAAACTGTTTGGTCCTGAGGTCTAGGGTCAGAGCCATCATCTGGGATTCCATCCTCTCTCACTTTCTGGCTGTCTGTCCCTCAGGGCCAGCAGGTGAGGGACCCCAGATGCCAGACAAGGCCAGGATGGGCACAGAAGACACACCTGGAGGCAAAGCCAGCCCAGATCCTCAGGACATGAGGCGAAGTGTGTTCCATAACATCAAGGTACCTCTTGGGGCCTGGCAAGGGCAGGGTCCTCTGAGCCAGCAGAGCAGGCTTTGCCTCATTGTGGCTGTGTAACACCAAGCATGCTTTTCTCTGAGCCTCAGTTTCCTTGCCTGTAGAATGGGTGGCTGTGAGCATCCAAGGGACGATCTAAGAAAGCACTTAGCTAGGTTTTGGAAACATGGAAGGTGCCCAGGATATGTTCTCTCCTTCCAGAGAGCAAAGGGGCTGCTCTGGGGGCAGTGGGGGATGAGTGCCCTTGCTTTCTGCTCCGTAGAGGAATAGAGAAGTACCCCAGGGATCCTGAACCTGTATGAACACTTGGAGTCCTGGTTCCACCAAGGATGCCTAAATATCCAACATCTACCGGCGCCTACTGGGTGCCAGGCCCTCCAGGTGCCATTCACACATGATCGTATTTCATTCTCACCATAACCCTGGAAGGTAGGGCTGTTGTCCTCATTGTATGGTTGAGAAAACCGAGACTCAGAAGAACAGAGGGAATATATAAACTTTTGCATGATGCTCGATTTTTTGATGCTTTGAAGCATGCTTTTCTTCTCATGAATTCTGTCAGCTGTTCAGTAGGAAGACTACAGGCAGGCTGGGATATCTGGGGTGGGGTAGAGTCCGGCCATTTGAGGTTTTGGTGTGTTCAAGTGGTCTTCTTGTGGCAGCTCTAGGAAAGGATTAGGTGGGGGTGAAATAGAGAAGGATCTGGATGGACCTGGACAGCTTCTAGGAGAAAGGAGCAGGGTGGTGGAGCAGAGAGAAAGGTCCAGTCCAGCCCAGGGGGAGCTCTGAGAATCAGAGGGAGCTCCCACCATTCCAGACCCCATGAAGACCCCACTCTCAGTCATGAGGCTCTCTGGTAGCCCCCAGGCCCCTGGAATGTACCCAAGACAGCTTTTCTGGGTTTTAGGCCTGTGTGGGAAGCCACAGGCTACTCCAATAACTAACTCTTTCTTCCTCTCCCCCTCCCTTCCCGTCTCTGTCTCCCTCCCTTTCCCCCTCTCTGTCTCCTTTGGTCTCTCTCTCTTTCTCGTTTGTCTTTGTCGCTATCCTTCCCTCCCTCCTTCCTTTTCTCTCCTTCTATGAGTCCGTCTCCATTCCTTGCTCCTCTCTTGGCCTCACTCTCCCACTCCTTGTCTCCCCCGCTACCTCCCACCTCTGCCTGTCTCCCTGCTGCCTCCTGGTCCCTCTGCCTGCGGCTTCTCTGCCAGCTCTTTGTCCTGTGCCACAGCCTGCTGCAGCTGGCACAGCTCATGATCTCCGGCTACCTTAAGAGTTCCATATCCACAGTGGAGAAGCGCTTTGGCCTCTCCAGCCAGACCTCAGGACTGCTGGCCGCCTTCAACGAGGTACTGTCCCCGGTTCCGCCACAGGGGCAGACATTGAGGAAGACTTGCACCCCCCACCTTCCACCAGTTTCCCCCTCACTACCTCACCATAAAGCCTCCCCTTCCTAGCACCCTCAGGCAACCTCCAACAGCGCAATCCCTGAAGCCTCAGAGGGCTTGCAGCTGGAAGACCTGGCAATCCCCCTCTTGGAGAGCATCCTATCGGGGCTGTGGGATATTTAGAGCTAGCTGGGGTCCCATGTCCACCTGCTCTCCCTTTAGTTCCTTTACCTTTGTAGGCACCTAGCTATCGCCTGTCCCAGGAAGAAATCAGAGAAAATCACTTCAACAGCAGTGAGAGAAGCTTCGGTTACATCAAGGGCAGAACTTTCCGTCTTTGGGGTGTGGGGAGAGAGGAATGCCATGGCACAGAGCGTCTGTTGGCAGAATTGCTCAGAGATTCACAGGGCTGTGGGGCCCACAGCCAAGCAGGAAAGAGCAGATGAGCTGCTTTGGGTGGATTTGGAGATCAGAGTCCAGCTGTGCCCCAGCAGCCCCCACCAGATGTTTTTACCCTGGGGGAAGGAAGCTGTCTCTTTCTCCCTTCCCCGCCCCTGGCAGATTTCTGTGAAGTTCTCTCCCCTTGGGTAAAGTGTCACATTCCTATCAGTCTCTGGACCTTGGCGTCTCATCTATAAGATGGAGAATGGCTGCCTTTGCCAAGGTCAGTCTTGTTCCCCTGACCCCACCACCTGCTGATACTGCCTCACTCCCCCAACAAGGAGTCTGGGGCTCATCCATGGTCATGAATCAGTAGGGAGCTGAGTGGATGCACCCCCTGCTCATGGCAGTGCCTTGCAAGCTCTCAAGTCCCCTACATACTCGGGCTTTAAACTTACATATCCTCTCACCCATGATGGTTCTGAAACTCAAAATCCTTTTTCCTTGACTGCCCATCCTCCTCCATGTTCTAGCATGGGATCCGACCCATGTTCTAAAATGAAACTCTGCCCTGTCCTCATATCTCTCCTCTAATGGGGAAGTATATCCAAGGAGGACCCAGAATCTGCGCTTATAAGAGGGATCTAGGTGATTTTTATTCTGGCCATTATACAGATAGGAATACTAAAGTTGGTGATAAAGATAGGAATGGGGCAGGACCCCAACCCTGGGCTCTGCTCCACTTTAACAGGTGACCTCTTCCCTTTGCAGGTGGGGAACACAGCCTTGATAGTGTTTGTGAGCTATTTTGGCAGCCGGGTACACCGGCCCCGGCTGATCGGCTATGGGGCTATCCTTGTGGCCCTGGCAGGCCTCCTCATGACTCTCCCACACTTCATCTCGGAGCCATACCGCTACGACCACACTAGCCTGGGTAAGAACAGGAAGGGCTGGGCAGGAGAGGGTCATGAACATTACTGTGCACCAGGGCGCACGCACAGGTCTTCACTGGGCAAGGTGGGCCCCAGCATCCCAGGACCACTGTGGTTTTTTGAGGTGGGGTTGAATTTATACTTCAGCCTAGATTTAGGGCCTAACATGCAGTAGGTCTTCAGGCAATGCCTGTGGGAAAATAACAGTGGCATACACTACTTACTATTGATCAGACACTACTCTAAGCAATTAATAATGTAGTCATGCATCTTATCTTCACAAAAGCAAGACATCGATGAAAGAAAGAATTAATGAGTGAATGAAAAAATGAAAGAGTATTAGACAGGAATAGTGAAACCCTGTTCAGCCCAGGGGGATTTTCCTGAAGGCCTACTTGACAAACTGATGCTCCTTTAGAGAATGACCCAAGCAGCTTGAGCATTTACTCTATTCCTTCCGGCTCCTATTATCCCATCTACCCATCCAACTTTCCCTTCTTCATCCATCCATCCATCTATCCGTCTATCCATCCGTCCAGTGATCCACCCAACAAGCCCTTCATGCTGCCTACTTTTTGCCTGAGCCTCTCAGGGGACCTAGTCCTTTACTCCAGGGAGCTCCTGGTCTTGAAGCAGAGATAGAGACAAACGAAAACCTCAGTGTGTCAACTGTGTGAGGAAGGATAAAGAAGGGAGGCGGGCTTCCCAGAGTGGAAGAAACCCAGAGTAGAAGCCCACACCACAGCCCGGCAACAGGGAAGTCTCCCAGGTGAGGAGGATTGTCAGTGCAGCCTACCTCCCTCGCCCTCCCACCAGCTCACACCTCTGGAGTCCCACTCTGTGCCAGGGTGGGGAAAGGAAGTAGAAAGATGAAGCAGACATGACCCAGAGGATTGCAGGGATGGAGTGAGCATGGCAACTCCAGTACAAGGTGTAGAGCCCAGTAGCTTAGGAGATGGCCAGAGGGCCATTAGAGCCCTGAGTAGGGGAGGGACACTGGCAGCCAGAGGGAGCTGGCAAGGTGGCACTTGAACTGCAGTGTAGAGAGAAGGTGGGAGTTATAGGGGGAGGAGGAGGGGCATGGGTCTTAAGGCAGGAAGTGGGAAAATGGGGGAGGGGGTAGTGGGCGTGAAGAATGCAGAGCGGTTATCTAGACCTGAGTGTCAAGAGGGCTGTTTGGCATGCTGAAAAGTGAGACTTCCTTGAGTTTCTTTGTCCAGCATTTTCACTTTACAGAGCTTTTGCTGTGTAGGGTCACACATGTTCTTCTTTTTCCTCATTGCCATAGGAAACCCCTCTGCCTAGGCTCCCCTGAAACCCGGAGCAAAGTCCCGTCTGAGCCTCAGTCTCCAAGGGTCTCCAAGCTTCCATCCTGCTCTGACACTCCAGGCTGTTTCATCCATTCATTCTTCATCTAGTATTTATAAAACTCAATTTTGTGCCAGGCCCTCTGCAAGAAATGGGGGACGTGGGTGAAAGGACACACACAGTCTCTCTATTGTCGTCTAGCATCTAGCAGACACTGTGCCCTGGCACACTCACCACTCTTAATATTCAGAACCTCATGAGGCACGAGTTATCATTAACTCCCACAAGTGAAGAAATTGAGGCTCAGAGAGGGGAGGAACTTTCCCAAGGCCCATGCCAACAGAGCAATGCCACACGCAAGTAGCCCTGCCTTAGCCCCTACTCTGAACTGCTGTTTATGAATTCCTTCTCTCTGGATAACTTCTGTTCTAGGAGATTCATTTGAGAGATGAAGAGACCCAGAGGGCTAAAGGGCCTCTGTCATTACCCAGAAAAATCCAGGTTGAAAACCTAAGTGCAGTTGTTGACCTCGGTTCACAGAGCTCTGTGCAGCCTGAGGGAGTTGCTTTCCAGGTTGGGTTGACACAACTCAGAGTCCCAGCTCCCATAAAGGGAGGGCCACATAGAGAAGACCACTTCCGCACCCACATTTGGGCTAATAATAGTGTAAGGGTCTCCTCAAGTTTGCTCATCAAATATTGATGAGTTACAGGGGACAAATGTCTGATGCTAAACTAAAATTCTTTGCTGCACTCTGCATCCATGTCCTAAGCTGACATTGAACTCTCCCAAAACGAAAGCCAAAAGCCCCAGAGCCCTCCATGATCCAGCCCCAGCCTCCCTCTCTGCCTGCTCCTGCCCGTAGCCCTGGCCTTGTACTCATACCTTGTGACCTAATCATCCTCAGCTTCTCATTCTACCAACACAGTGCCCTTTTTTCCAAGGCCTTGGGGTTTGCCCATACTGTGACCTCTCACTGGAACACCCCTCCCCTCCCTCTCTTTCTGGAAAATCTTGTTTGTTCTTCTGGACTCAGTTCAAACTCTACCTCCTTTGACTACTTCACCCTATCCAAGAGCCACTGTCGCCATGGGATGGTGGCATAGGGCAGTTGAAGAGCCTGGAGGCTAAGACCAGCCTGCCTGGGTTCTAGTCCTGGCTCTATTTCTTTGCTAGTTGCTGTCTGAGCATCAGTTTCATCATCTGTGAAATGGGAGTAATGAGAACACCCATTCCTATGGTTTGTTCTGGGGAATCAAATGATTTCTGTGCACAGCACTTAGAATTGCACCTTCTATCAGGTAAGTGCTGTTTAAGTCTTAGCCGTTGTCATAATATTTTTTTTATCATCTCTCAGAGGATACACCACAGGACTTCGAGGCTTCTCTGTGCCTCCCCACAACCTCGGCCCCAGCTCTAGCCCCCTCCAACAGCAGCTGCTCAAGCTACACTGAGACCCGGCATCTGACTGTGGTGGGAATCATGTTCATGGCACAGACCCTGCTGGGCGTGGGCGGGGTGCCCATTCAGCCCTTTGGCATCTCCTACATTGACGACTTTGCCCATAATAGCAACTCGCCCCTCTACCTCGGTGAGGACCACTCCCACCCCTCGGCCTCTGAGGGTCAGGCCAGGCTCAGGTGGGAGGAGAGAAGCCCAAGGCGGGCATGGAGTCCCTGACCTCTGCCACATCTGGTCAACAAAGTTCCAAAGAATCCCTAGAGAATTTCCCAACCCTGACCAGGGAAGACAGACTGTCTCTGTCCATCAAAGACTGGGAAGACACTGGTAAACTCAGGGCAGCCAGCGCTAGAGGGTTCTAACCTAGGCCTTGTGTTGCAGGGATCCTGTTTGCAGTGACCATGATGGGGCCAGGCATGGCCTATGGGCTGGGCGGCCTCATGCTCCGTCTTTATGTGGACATTGACCGGATGCCGGAAGGTGAGACTCAGGAGCACATATTTGTCCCAGGGACACACAGACACCCGCTAACTAACTGTCGGTCTCACAGGAGACACTGAGCCAAGGAACCTAGGTTCAAATCCCTGCAACAGCACTGACCTCAGACGAGCCCTTCAGCCTCTCTGTGTCTCAGTGTTCTCATCGATGAGATCATCAACCAGAACCCAGTGAGATGATAGAGATAAACTGTAAAGTGCTCTCAGGTGAGGAGTCGTGGTTGCAGTTACTACTGTTGCTGTGAGCCTTCGCCTTGTCCCAGGCTTTCGGTTTTGTACTTGTACATGCAGAAAAAAGAACATGCTCTCTTGGCCTAGAAGGAATGCCTGTCTTTAGGAGGAAACAAGACCCAGGGAAAACAGAGAGGATGATGGTACACTGGAGAGAAACCGTGGCGCAGAATTTGGTGACTCCCTGTGCTACCTTGGGTCTCTCTCAGATGGGACATTTGCTGGCAACTTCTAAGAACCTATTTAGTTCTGACCATCTCAGAGTCTGGGAAACTGCCAGAGTTTAGAAAACAGTTGCTAACAGTGGTCTCTGATCCAGGTAGTGGTCAGAGTGGGCTAAGGAGTGGGACTGGAGCCAGGTCTGAAGGTGACCAGGAGGGAGGAGTGTTGGGGGTTCCAGAGCTCTGGAGCCCTTGTGGGGGCAGGAGGGAATTCCTGCTACAACACGCCACTGTGGCCTCTCAGCTGTCTGCTTGTCACACCAAGCAGCTCTGAGCCTCCAGATGTGCCTCCTGCCTCCTGCTATCCTCACCTGGAGATTTTCCAGCAGGTCTTGGAAGCCTTGGGCGATGTGTGTGGCTGGGTAAAGGTGCAGAAGCAGCTTTTTGTTCTCCAGCTTTTGCCTCCAGCCAGGACAGGTGTGGGCAGCTCTGCACAATAGTCACTAGAGACAGCCCCACCCCACCTCCCTTCCTTTTAGAAACCTAGGTCCAGGAGCCAAGTATGGGCTCTGGCAGCAACCCCTCCCTCCCCCAGAGGAAAAGTCCTGGGAGCCAGAGGTTCCCTAGATTTCCCAGGCACATCTCAGCTCAGTGGAAGGGGGTGTATTTCCTGACTACTGATGCCATCCTGGCAGGATGGGGCATCTCCACGAACAGATGTGGCAATTCTGTGGCCCAACTTGCCACCTCCCAAGTCCTTCCTTCTCTACGGGGGATTTCATGGGGTGGGCGAATCATGCTTGCTGCCAGCACAGGCATATGAGACGCGGAGGAGGTGGGAGATGCAGGTGTGAGCTCTCACCAGCCAGGTATAGGGCCAGGGGAGATAGCAGGTAAGGCGGGAGTCAACTGCAATGCAAGAGCCAGACCTACCCCGGCTTTTCAGATATATATTTGCTGAGTGCTGGCTGTGTGCTCTGGCCCCTGCCCAAGAGGAGCTCAGGATCAAGTGCTTGGGAAACCAGCTCTGCACATGGGGCTGGCGCCATCATGCATTTGTATTTGTATAAGGTATTTGTGGATACTGTGGAGATTGAAGGAGAATGTACCCGGCTCAGTCTTGAGGTTAAGATGTTTGATGAGAGGTTTGCGCACTCCAGCCAGGGAGTACATCTGGGATAATCTAGTCCTAATTAACCCTGGTGGGGGGGGGGCTCAAAAATCACCTGGGGAACTTGTTAAAGATACAGGTTCCTCGATCATCTTCCCATCCCACCTTGTGGTCATTCTAAGTGTATCTTCCATAAAGTCAGTGTTTTTGACAAGCTCCCCTGAGGATATTAATCATCATATAGGTCTGAGAACCACAACAGTAGTCCTAGCTGTTAATTTAATAATAATACTCACAATAGCAATAGGAAGAAGAGGAAGAGAAGGAGGAAGAGCAAATACCTATATAGCATATATTCTTCTAAGTGTTCTATATGTTTCATTCTTATAATTCTCACAACAACCCCCTGATATGGAATCTGATAATATCACAGAGGAAAAAACTGAGACACAAAGAGCTTGTCCAAGGTTATGAGTTAGCACTGTTATTCAGGTCCAGCAATCCATTTTCATAGTCCATGACTTTAACCATGACACTACATGCCTTAGTAGTTGAAGAAACCAAGGTCCAGAAAGGGTCAGGGACTTACCCAAGGTCACACAGGGCATAACTGACAAAACTAAAACTAAATAACAGGTCTCCGGACTCCCAGCCCAGGCCACCTCATGTTTCAGACAGGGGGATGACCTAGAATTGACAGCCCACTCTGATCCTAATATCATGTCGGTCTTCTCTTCCAGGTGGTATCAGCCTGACCCCGAAGGACCCCCGATGGGTGGGCGCCTGGTGGCTGGGCTTCCTCATCGCTGCCTGTGCGGTGGCTCTGGCTGCCATTCCCTACTTCTTCTTTCCCAGGGAAATGCCCAAGGAGAAGCAAGAGCTTCACTTCCGGCAAAAGGTCTTGGCAGTTGCTGCCTCACCTGCCAGCAAGGTAAACACCCTCCATGTCCACTACCCCCAGTCCAGGCTCCAGCCCTCATCTGCTTGCCCTCTTGGTAACCTTTCCCTTCATCCCCCTAGGCACTACACTTCACAGCTTACAAAGTTCATTCTTTCTGGGCTCCATTGCATCCTCCCAACAGCCCTACGCAGTATATTTTACCTGTACCCTCCCAGTTGAGGAGAACAAGGACCAGAGATGGAGGTGACTCACCCAAGATCACAAAGTCAGCAAGGGCAGGGCTGGGATGAGAACCCATGCCTGTCTGAGGCCATGCCCTCACGCCGACAACCAATGCACTACTGCCTCAGTGCTTGTCACTACACATTTGTGTTAATTCTGAACACACCATAGGAACGTTAAGAACAAGGAGGTGGGTGGAAGGGGCTGGGAAGACTTCCCTGAAGAGGAAGGATTCGAGCTGGACTCAAAGGAAGTGTGGGAGCACAGAAAGGAGAGGGATGGCATTCTACTATAGAAACAGCCCCCATAAAGAATTTGGTTGTAGAGATGACAGTGAAGGGGACAGTGAAGGCGACAAATGTACCAAGTGCCTCCTCTGGGCCATGCCCCAGGCTGGACACTAGAGAACAGCATGCAGTCTCTACCCTGAGAGCAGGCACAATCTAGAGGATAAACGTCCGTAGACAAGTGACAACAGGCAGGATGCTCAGGGGAGTCTACTGAATACCCTTGTTCCACTCTCGGGGCAGGTGGACCTCTCCTCAGAAGAGGACACTGAGGCCCAGCCTGGTGGGAGACTTGATGAGGTCACAGAACTGGCAAAAGAGGACAGGACCATGTGAGCAGGATAGATGATTCCAGGTCAGGGGTCTCCAAGTTTTCCAGGGACCCGCAAAACATGAGGCCTGAAAAACAATAAATTGGCTTCACGTTAAAAAGAAAGTGATAAAATTTTTAAACTGGAGTTTTTATTATATGTCATTAACGTCAATTTCATTCATTTTTCCTTAGTACTCACTCATTTCTCGATATTCTGAAAATGTGTGCATCCAACTTCCTCCTTTTCCAAGTATGGGAAATAGTTGCTGAGAAATCAGAATCATAATTTAAGTTACTGGTAAAAGTGGTTACTGGTGACTAAGTAATTCTAATTTCAAAGAGACAATTTATTAAAATCCTGTTGAATATATATGCGTGTGTGTGTGTGTGTGTGTGTGTGTGTGTGTGTGTGTGTATTTTTTTTTTAATCAGGGTCTCACTCTGTCACCCAGGTTGGAGTGCAGTGGCACGATCACAGCTCACTGCAGCCTTTACCCCCTGGGCTCATGAGATCCCTTCACCTCAGCCTCCCAAATAGCTGGGACTATAGGTGTGTGCCACCATACCTGGCTAATTTTTTTTAACTTTTTATGGAGATGAGGTCTTGCTATGTTGCCTAGGCTGGTCTTAAACTCCTGGGCTCAAGTGATCCTCCTGCCTCGGCCTCCCAAAGCAAGCCCCTGTTGAATATTTTGCAGCAAGAGAACTTCTCTTTGCTGTGGCAGGTTGGTGCATCTGAATATTTGGAAAGGCTAGGGCCAGGGAGATAGATGGGACAACTCTGACCGTGGTCCAGGTGGCAAGCAGTGCTTTGGCAGTGAGGGGACAGGGACATATGAGAGCCATGCAGGAGATTGCTCAAACAGGGTGCTGCCTTGCTATGGGGTGTCCCAGAGAGAGTGTTGGGTTGGGTTGATGCTGGGACTGAGTGCAGCTGCCTCAAAGGCGAGGGGCTGTGGGGGAGTAGCAAGAGTTGGGGAGGGACCATTTCAGGGGAAGGAGACAACTTGGAACCACAGATGGTTCTTCCCGGTTCTGCATAACTCTGGCCAAAGTTTGAATAAGATGGAATTCCCGGAACTTGGAGACAAGTTCTTGGAAGTGGGAGGGATCATAGAGAAAGGAGAGGGCCTGGGTTGCTGGGTACAGATAATCTCCAAGTTTGGTCCTGAATTTGAACAGAGAAAGACACCAGTTGGGTCATGGGGTGGAATAAGTAGAAGAAAAGGCTGAGGGTGAGAGACTGAGCTGTCCTCAGTCAAATGTCAGCTGTGTGACCTTGAGCAGCAAATTACTTCCCTATGCTATGCTGCTGTGTAAGATGCTGAGGCTGGATTCCTAGAGCAACATGCACCTTGGATTCTGAGAATGCACGATTCCTTGAGTTGAAGCTACTGTGATTCAGAACTTTGGATTTTAAGAGCCTGTGTGTCTCTGTGATGTCTTGAAACCCTGGCTCCCCAGCTGTGAACCTGTCTGGCTGTCTGGATAAGTTCTGTCAGCACACTGAGGATTGGGAGTAGGGAGGGAAGGGGGTGAGAGGTTCTTTAAAAAGAACCGAGGGCTGAGAACACGATGATCTGCTTCCAGCGCTTTCAGGCAATAAATATTGATGTGGGAGGAATTGTTCCTCCTCCTCCTTAAGGCTGCCTTGGCCGGGTCTGCTTACAGTAATGCCGACCAGCCTGGCTCACTAGGGCCACGGAAGGGGAGGCGGATGGACGGGAGGAAAGGCCCCAAGAGGCAGAACTGACTGCCAGAAAGTCCAGCTCCCCAGACGTGGGATGTGGGGAGAGGGGATGGGCAAGGAGAAAAAGTGAAGACGGGGGTCAATTCTGAAATCTCTCCAGGTATCCTCTCCCAGGATCAGGGCTCAGGGGTCTCCTAAATACCCTCCCAGAAGTAAATACAGTTCTTGAAATTATCCAGGAGATGGTAGTATATAATGTAAGAATTTTGTGACCCAGAGAAGGTCTTTGGCCTAGGTTATAATGGGCTGCAGATTGGACAAGGTCTGTCTACTCTGACAGATTCAGTGCTGTTTCCTCTAAATGGGTCCTGGTCTTGAGAGCAGTACATGAGCATGTTTACAGGGAACAGAGAGGTGCCTCTCACAGCCCCTGCCCCAAGGAGCTCTGCAGCAGTGAAGAAAGGCCAGATGCACAGAGACAGGGAAAGACTCAGGTTTCTCCCATGGCCACAACTATGGAATTCTCTGCTTTGGGGGAGAGGCATTGACAGTCCCCACAAGAAGAGCATAAGATGGGGGTGGGGGAGGACTTGCAGGTCTTGAAGTAGGGGCAGAAGCCCTACTTTCCTGCCTTTGGCTCTGTCCTCGTACCTGTGAGCTCAGAGCTCAGGTGGCCACCAAGACACCCTCCTGGGAGTGATCCAGGACAGGCCACACCTTTCTCAAGTGGTCTTCCTGCTTACAATCAGCTAATCCTAAGGTCCTGTCAAACCCCAGAGCTCCTGGTGGATGGCTCTGCAGGGTCTTTGGAGTAAAGATGGTCCCTTGGGGGCTATTTGACAGATTCTCTGTTTCCATCTATCCCTGTGGTGGTGTCCCCATTCACCCAGCAACTCCCCTGTGCCCGCTGTGCCTTCTGGTCCTCTTGAGAACCTGTCCTTAAGGCTGGGTTAGGGGCTCAGAGGGCTCCAACCTGCTATTTCCTGGCAAGCAGGCCTCTCCACTGAGGATGCCTGTCCTTTCTAGCATTTTAACACCAGTGGACTTCGTGACCCTCCCTTGGTTCATATTTACCAGGAGTCTATGTGTCTGCTATTTTGGCAATATCTCTGAGAGCTTGGAATTCTAAAATTATATGATTTTAAAGTTCTGGCCGGGCATAGTGGCTCATGCCTGCAATCCCAGCACTTTGGGAGGCTGAGGTGGAAGATGGCTTGAGTCCAGGAATTTGAGACCATTCTGAGCAACATAGTGAGACTTCGTCTCTACAAAACACCAAAACATTAGCTAGGCATGGTGGTGTGTGCCTGTAGTTTCAGCTACTGGGGAGACTGAGGCAAGAGGATTGCCTGAGCTCAAGAGGTTAAGGCTGTGGTGAGCGGTGATCATGCCACTGCATTCCAGGCTGGGCAAGAGTGAGACCTTGCCTCAAAAAAAATTAAAAAAAAAAAAGATTCTGTGTCCCTAATAGTTAGAAATGCTCAAGGACTTGTGCTATATTATTTTAAGACTCTTTGCCTCAAATGGTCTGTGACTCCCCAAATCCACATTTCTAAATGGCTATAATTTTGCCTAAGAATCTGTAAGTCTTATGAAACCCACTGTCTCCCAGTCATTAACCTTAATGTACATCTCTGAGAGAATGGTCAGGAATGGGACTGGAGTTGGAGGTGGCAATGGTCCTTAAAACCCAGGACCAGGGGCTGGTCCATTGGGATCTGTCCTGTTAGGAGGCCCCTGTTCCCCTGGGAGTTTGTGTTTCTGCTGTAGCCACTATGAGTTCCAGGGTGTTGTAGGCATTCCTTGTCCCCAGTGTCTCTTCCTAGCATGCACTGCCTCTAGTCCCCGCCCAACAAACCTGGGAGCCCTTTTGTGTCCCAGGCTTGTGGCTCTGCCCTTGCCCAGCCTCCTCTCTCCAACATCAAAGGGCTTGGTTCCACCCCACTTCATCACACAGATAGGACTGAGGTCTCAGAGGGTCAAGGGTGTGACCCTCAAAAGGGCTGGAGGCTCTTTTGGGATGGTGTACTTAAGTGATTTTCAAACTGCAGCCCAGAGGAACCCATCTGGGTGCCATCATAGGGAAAATGAGAAGGGGTGTCCCCAAACAGGGCTAAACTCTTTTTTTTTTTTTTTGAGTTGGAGTCTCACTCTGTCGCCCAGACTGAAGTGCAGTGGCCGCTCCTGGCCACCGCAGCCTCGACCTACTGGGCTCCGGCCATCCTTCCACCTCAGCCTTCCTAGTAGCTGGAACTACAGGCATGCACTAACACACTCGGCTAATTTTTTTTTTTTGATTTATTGTAGAGATGAGGTCTCGCCAAGTTGCCCAAGCGGGTCTCGAACCCGTGGGCTTAGGCAGGGCAAAACTCTTATGCACAGGCACACACATGCGTACACTTCAGTCAGAGTAGTAGTTCTATTTTTATGTGTTTTTATACCAGTTTTTAGAATGAGATTTCAATTAGGAAAAGGGTTCTGTTGCAAAAGAAACCCCCAAAACAAAAACCACACAGCT